CATATTCCTAATCCTATTCATAACACTAATCATGATTCTAATCCTAATCATAATCATAATCCTAATCCAAATTCTACTCGTAACGCTAATCATAATTATAATCCTAACCCTAATAATTTTAATACTAATAATACTAATGCTAATACTAATGCTAATTCTAATTATAATACTAATCTTAATTATAATCATAATCTTAATCCTAATACTAATCATAATCCTAATATTAATACATGTCACTAATTGTAGTACTAATCTTAATCCTAATACTAATCATAATCCTAATATTAATACATGTCACTAATTGTAGTACTAATCTTAATTGTAATTCAAATATTAATATTAATCATAATCATAATCCTAATCCTAATATTAATTCTAATACTATATTAATCCGAATTATAATCCTAGTTTTAATACTAATACTGATTCAAAGAATATTAATTATAATCATGATTCTAATGCTAATACGAATCACAATCCTAATTCTGATTTTGTATCAATGATTTTTGCAATGATCTATTATTTTGTATCAAAAACAATTATATTCAATCTCGCAACCTTTATATCAACTTACTTATATGTTGTAGTTGAAACATCCAAAAACACATGTTAAATATATCAGAAATTAATATTTAATTATATTCTCAAACAAACATTAAAATTATTTAAAATATTATAAGGGTATAAGCAAACGTTAAGAAGTAAAAAGAACAATAATCGATGTTAATAGGATAAATTATGAAAATCCTCCTGAACTTTGGCTAACCTATGGAAAACACCCCCATTTATCGGTAATTACTGAGATTCCCCTGATGTTTGTTTCTATCTTACACAACCCCCTTAAGGTGTGTTTTTTTTTTACGGAATCTATTTTATTCCATGTAATATCTCAAAAAAATGTGGATTCTATCATTGTAGATGTGACATTTCTTTTATTCTACTTTTTAAATACAAATATTACCCTTAAGGGAGGTAAATGTAATATTAAAAAGTTGTGAAGGTGTTATTTAAAAAGAATAAATTATCCGTGTAAAGTTCCCCTCAGGGTAATTTTTGTCTTTAAAAAGTACCATAAAGAAATGTCGCGTGTGCATGGTAGAATCAGCATTTTTCGGGAAATATTCCAAGTAATAAAAAATTTCCGTGAAAAGTCATACTGTAAGGGGGTTGATGTAAAACATAAACAAACATTAGTGAAATTTTGGTAATTACGAATATGTGGGGGTATTTTTCTTAAATTAGCCTCAGTTCAGGGGGTTTTCGTATTTTATCCATGTTAATATCCAACTTAAATTGATTTACACGTATGACCATATGTTAGAAACTAAAAATAAAGGTTGATGTTAATTTTGTGTAAATCAGTCGAATATATTGTGATTTCAAAAAAAATAATAGAGATATAGAATCGATATTAGATTCTTATAAACATTATAAAATAAATAATTTTATTTTACAAATATTTTAAAAATGTAAATTAACAAAATAAATATATCTGATTATATATGATGGGGAAATAGAAAACTTAAGAATACTTCACTAATTTAGATACATAACTTGTAAGTTAGACAAAAATACTCATTTATTCCACTATCAAAATATATATATATATATATATATATATATATATATATATATATATATATATATATATATATATATATATATATATATATATATATATATATATATATATATGTATATATATATATGTATATATATATGTGTATGTGTGTATTTCTCTATCTTTTTCTTTTTCTCTCTTATATATATATATATATATATATATATATATTTTTATTTATATATATATTATAAAAATTTTTATACGTATGTATGTGTGAGAGTGTGAGTGTGAGTGTGTGTATATGTGTGTATGTGTTTGTTATATTTTTATCTGAGAGAGTGTGTAAGAGTGAGACGTTGTATTAATTTAACTCTCTTTTATATACACGCGTACGTATGTGTGTGTGTGTGTGTGTGTGTTTGATTGAGAGAGACATAAAAACAACAGATCTTCATGCTAGCTCGCGAGTTGGTGCGGTGGTGAGAGCGCGAGAGCGCGAGAGAGCGAGAGAGAGA